CCCCTTTTCTTTTCTTGTGAGCTCATGAACCAAGTGATCTAGTTTGGTGAACAGGTAGCAAACCAAACCTTTAGAAGACAATGACTGTCTTTGCCCACAGGTTATTAGAAATAGCACATAATGTTAACAAGAATGAAATCCAGGAATTCAAAAAAAATAAAAAATGGATGACCTGCAACTTCAAAGAGAACTATATTTTACAGTTTTCCATTTTACATTATCTGAAAAAAGTTAGTCCTACAACTTGCACCTGCACTTCCAGAGTGTTCGTCATTAGTCTTATCCCCATCACCAAAAATATTCATGATTCAATGTAAAATTATAAAGCACTATTCAGAAATATTATAAATCAGAGCCAGAAAACATGGCCTGATTGATTGTCAAGTGCAGTGTGAAAGTTTCCTCTTCTATCAGACTTCACACTGTATCCATTTCAGAACTATAGTTTTTTTGAAACTTCCATTTCAGAACTATAGTAGTTTGTAAAATCATGATAGACAAAGTTAATAAACTATGGGTTTTGGCATATTTCAATAGGACAGGGCGATAAGCTAGAATCATTTCCTGGACATTTTACCAAAAAACATGATGCAGGCACGCACAAGTTCTTTATTAAAATAAACATTATGCAAAAATAAGATTTATACAGAATCTTGCAGTGGAAGATATACCTTGGGTGCTGATTCCCCTTTACCACCTTCTGCCTGTACTTTCGCCATTTGTACCCGTCATCTAAGAAATCAACTTCACTTCTTGTCTGCAGAACAATCTTGGACTCAGCTACTGTACTATGTGATGAAGCTAGTGTCTCAACTGCCGATTTCGTTCTCTTTGTATCTATCATACAAACCAATGGTTATGTATTTATATTCACTCAAAGTACATCAAATTCAAGCCAACATCATTCAGATTTCAACGCCATGAGGAAACTGGATTCTACGAATTTAGAAGTACTAAAAGGTCATGTATTCTTGCACACATATATATATATATAGAACATTAAAATAAGCCTAGAATAAGAATGTGTACTTACAAGTGAGCACGGCGATTAAAGATGAGATTCGGTTTTTTCAATCCCTGATTGGGTTCTGAATGGTGACCTTGAATTTGCCTTTTCCACCATCCTGCTGACTTTCCTCAATATTTCTGGCTGATTGAGAAACAGTCTCTCCACACATAAACACCTCAATCTTTTGCAGGGAACGACAACTATCACCAAACTCAGAAGGAATCTCAGTGAGCAGCTTGCAATTTTGCAACACTATATGCTCAAGAGATTGGAAGGCATCATCTGATATATTCCAACGCGTAATATTCAGATTTCCCAATTTCAAGTATTTGAGTTTTGGAAATTCATCATTACTCACATTCCACTCTTCTCCCTCAAAAGCCTTTGAAAGCAGTTTAAAAATTTCAAGGTTTGGTAATGCTGCGATCGCAGAAATTTCAACCCATGGCAGCCTAAACTTTGATAAGGTTAATTTCTTAAGGTTCGAGGGGAAGTTAAATTCACAAGGCAGAAGCACTCGGCCTTGATAAATCACATTGAGCGATTCAAGCTGATTCAAGAAATCCAAAACTGGAAATCGATTGCAAGATTCTCCCAAGTTCTCAGAATGACCCCAAGATTCCAAAAATATGCATTTTAGTTTTTGAAGGAAAGGAAAACTTCTCATTATGTTCCCTTTGTCATAAGAAAGGGATGGGGTGGATAAGGTCTGCAAAGGATCCAATTGGGACAAGTTAGAATCTGAGAAGGTACAGTTATCTATATGTGCATGCCTCAGTCCCTCCATACTGAAAAATGTATCTGGTAATGCTACCTCACTTTTTGTTCCTTTCACTAGGAAAGTTTCTAAGTTCCAGAGCTTGGAAATCCAAGAGGGCATGACCGTCATGTCACCTTGAAGTGACAAAAATCTCAAATGCACAAGCCTTTCTATTTTCGGAGGAAAGGTATTGCCAATGTTGATGCACCCCAAATCCAACACTCTAACAAGCCCTTTGACACCCCGAAATGGAAATGGACCTTCTTTGGGAAGAGGACTTTTCCAGGAGCGGTGCCAACCGGGTTCAGAAGAATATATCATTGTGCGGGTAAGGGAAATAGGTGGTATATACAGAATTAAATCTTCCTTATCCAGAACGAAATCTTCAAACCGCGATGCTACTGGCAAGAACTTTTCGGCTTTAGATTTGTCTCGACAGAAATGATATAGATAATCATGAATGTGACATGATTTCAGCCAGCCCTTTGAACTTCTTCTGGCCTCCATTACAAGGCTCCTCCCCATAAGATCATTCAGGTAATCTTGTACTACCTCCTCCGGTTTCTTCACCTCATCTCTTCGTAAAAATCCTTCACTAACCCATAACCATGTTAGTTTTGAAACTGAAATTTCTGTACTCATTGGCAATGCTGCAAAATATAGAAAACATTGTCTTAGATAACCTGCCATTTTTTTGTAGCTCAGTTCTATTATTTCATTGCAGTCGCCTACATCACGATTAGTTTCTGAACTAAATGCCTCTTCAGTAATGGTTAGCCAATCGCTGTCGTCCTCTAAATTGCCAAGAAACCCAGCTACCAAAACAATGGCCAGAGGTAGCCCTCGACAATTTGCGGCAATTTCCTTCCCAACTTCAGCAGGACAGTTCTCATTTGGAATTGGGGGTTTGCGAAATTCTTCTCGAGTGCATAAGCGAAGGTGATTATACTTCACTTGTAATAGCTCCCAACTCTCTTCCGGAGTCAACAAGCGAACCAAAAAAGGTTCATCAAACAATGGATCCTCATATTTTCTGCCGCTGGTAACAAGAATTCTGCTTCCTTTATGATTATCTGGAAAACACCTGTGCAACTCATGAAATATATAAGAATCCCACACTTCATCTAAAACGATGAGGTATCTTCTTCCATATAACTGTCTGCGTAAAAGATCAAGATAATCTAGCTCCTTCCACTCCTTTGACTTGTAAATGTCATTGCTCAGATCAATGATAGAAATTAAAATATCTTGGGCCAATTCACTCACCGTATTTCTAGGAGAAACAGAACCCCATGCTTGAATATCAAAGTGATCTGAAGTTCTTCCGTCATTGTAAATTCTTTTGGCAAGTGTTGTCTTACCAATCCCTGGCATGCCAATGACCGGAATGGTATTAAGCTCGGCCCCTCCACCAATTACCCGGGCCATTAATATTTCTATCTGGTCCTCCAAGCCTACAACTGCTTCATTAATGATTGGAGTGCTAGGTTTTGATGCTTGACAATCAATTGGGACATCCTTTTTTCCGGTAAAGATTTGCGAAAATTCAACAACTTCCTTGAAGAACCTAATTTCTTCAATGACATCGTCTAACTGATTGTTCCGCATAGGAGAAGGTTTAAGCACGAACATGTCCACAATATATTCAAATTCGACAAATAAATTGGTCATACGATCGCAAACATATAACACTTCCTCGCGCTTACCTTGTTGGTCAACATTACCTTCGAGAAAAGGTTTGAAATTTTTAATATCAAACAGTACAACTTTAATCTGATGTGCTACCGGAGCAATTGAATCAATCCTATGATCCAACAATCTCAGCAAATTCTGCGATACCAAATCTACACATCCCAAACTATCAATCTGGGAAAAGGGCAATGCTGGCTTTTGTGTGCCGATAGTACCCTCTAAGATCTTTGATGCCATAGGCTCCATCTTTTGCACCAAACGGGATATAGCAAGATCAAATTCTTTGCCCAAATCTTCATTTGTTTCTCGGTTGTCTAATGAGTTGATGAATGACCAAAACTCATTGACTACAAGATCAAATATAGTCAAGCTTTCATTATGGATATCACAGCATAAGATATATATCAGCAGTAACCTGAGCGAAATTTGGAGTTTTTGGACATGATCGATGTAGACAGGTAGATAGGACCAGGAATTGAGCTTGGTCATTGGTGCTTCTAGGATGAAATGAACAAAGCCGCCTGCAAAGACATCCAATTCCCTAGTGAACTCTATAGTTGGGTGTAAAAGTTTCAGGCCTCCAACATAAGAAATAATATCTGATTTAGCATGTTGTATGCTCTGTAGCAGATCTATCAGCATGAAACTAATGCAATCAGCCATATCCTCATCCAATTCATCTGCCAGACAAAGTAAAGCGATACAACATGATACTTTTTTTGTCACAACTGTAAAATGATTACAGAAATTGTTGAACTCATTGGACTCAAAATTAGAGTATTTTAGCATGAACGGAAGAAAACCTTTCAGAATTTTCAGAATTCTTTTGATAACTTCAAGTTTTTCCTTCACAGGAGCAACAAAATCTGCCTTGTAGTTTAACAAAAACTCTAGATTGTCAATGAGGGATTCGATATATCCAGCCGGGACTTGATCAGCAGATAGAACAACACCAAATGCTCGGACGAGCTTGGGAAGTAGTCTTAGAAATAAAATCATGTCTGGCTTGAGAAGCCAAATCTTTTGAAGTGTGTCATAACTAACACGATCCTGTTCAGAGCTTCCAATATCACAAAGCAACTGAAGGTCCCGACCTGCGTTTGTGATCAAAATCTGGAGACGATTGAAAAAATTTCTCACATCATTACCCTCATCCATGTGGATCCATGTACGGGCACCGCAAACAAGCAGTAACAGATATCTCAATTCCTTCCTAAGCATCTCTGTACAAACAGTTAAAGCCCCGGATTTCATAACTTCGTTTTCAATAAATTTGACAAGATCGAGAAGATCAACATACAAATCGTCCATGGCTTTGCAGATTAGAAATGCAGTAAGTAAATTGAAGAAAGTATGAAGGTCAACGCTGAATGAGTACTCCAACGGCCCTAATTGTCAACCATTTCTCTAGTGTTTAAAAAAATAAAAAATAAAAAAACTCCTCGGACCAAGTAGGGCTGTCAAATTTGGCCCAAACCCATATGACCCGTCCAATATTTCACGGGTTGGGCGAATGCTATATCTGATGATGGGTCATTATGGACGTTGCCCAAACTAACCCGTGTAATAAATGGGTCAACCCATAAAATTTACAGAACTCAAAGGTGCGCATGTACCTGATTGGTCAAGGACTCAACGTGGCAATCTTTACCCTTCTATAATTCTTTTATTTTAGAAAAGAAAGTATGTTTCTTTCTAATGATTTATCATTTGTTTTGCAGGACAGTACACAGTACTATGCTTTAGGGAATTTTCAGTTTTACTTTAAGGAATTAAACAAATTTATATTTGAGAAAAAATTAAATAAATACTACAAATTGATTTTTTTTTCTAACTTCCTATATTGTTTTTGTTTTTTAAATGTATGCTTTTTATTTTTATCACTAGTATATCTATCACTTTAATTAGTTTTCTAAGTATATGATCTTTATGTTTACTAGAAGTTTAACAATAACTGATATCATTAGGCAAATTGACCATATTGACCCATTTAGAAGAATGATAAAGTAACGTAATTATGTAATAAAAAGGTGCTTTATTTTTTTTTTGTGCTATATTTATTAACTTATAAAAAAGATTGTGAGTATAATTTATGAACTCATTTTAAATGCTAATCTAGTATTTATTCTAAAACAAAATACACTTCCTAAATGCCGACTAAGCAAAAGAATTCTGGTTTTATTGTTGTGCACCTATATACTCAACATAAAATATATTATACTCTCAATATTCAATAGATGAAGATATAAATAAAATGTTTTTAAAATTTTTAATCAGTTAGCAAGATATTTTGACTCTCTAAATAATGATTTCTGCGATTGGTTCTTAATTTCCTAAATAATTATCTAGTTCAGAAAACAAGATAAATGATGTACTTTCATTTTTATAGTTTCTTCTCAAAAGAACGATATAGGAAATATATCCATGTGTCTCATAATTCTTAATCACATTTCATCTAAATTAGTAAAAATTGTGTGGGGTGTCACATCTCCTTTTTCCTACACCCAAGGGTAAAAGGGAATTTTTCCAATTAAAGGACAATCAAAACGGGATTTATTATCAAAAGAATTCAGAGTCGCCACTTGGGAGATTTATGGTGTCCCAAGTCACCGGTTGAATCCCGAATCGAGGAAAAAATTGACTCTATTTAACAGTCCGCGAACCAGAAATCCAAGTAAGGAATTTTGTTAACCCGAGAGAAGGTGTTAGGCATTCTCGATTTCCGTGGTTCTAGCACGGTCGCTCAACTGTCATATTTAGCTTAATTATCTGATTTTAGAACATTTTGAACATATGTACAAATTTTAACTTTTAACCGCCTTTTTTTTATTTTAAAGAAGATTTAACATCGTCTAAAATACGTCTTTGGATCGCGCCACATGAAATGCACCCGCTATCCGAAACACATTTTATTCAACGTTATTAGGATTTGGATTTGGGTCACATGAAATGCACACCCGAGTTTAAGAAAGTCAATTATTAAAATAACGCGTCTAAAATGACTATGCGTTTGCAATTTGCGAGGGCCATGGAATTTTAACTAAATGGCACGCCTCGAATTCTAAGGATCAATACAAGATTAATTAAATGAAAGCCATGTGTCACACCTCCTTTTTGCGCGCCCGCCCCGAAGGGTTAGGGTGCGCGGGTGGAGTTTTTCCAATTTAAGTGACAATATTCGAAATGAGATTATTTATTTAATTCAGAGTCGCCACTTGGGAAAGGTTTGGCTTTTGGTGTCCCAAGTCACCGGTTTATCTTGAATCCCAAATCGAGGAAAATATTCGACTTTTCCAAATGAAGTCTGCGAACCAGAAATTCTAAGTAAGGAATTCTGTTGACCCGAGGGAAGGTGTTAGGCACCCTCGAATCCCGTGGTTCTAGCACGGTCGCTTAAATTGTTATAATGGCTGAATATCTGATTTAAATACATTTTATGACTTACGTGTTTTTAATAAGTTTAAACCGCTTTTATTATTATCATTTATTTTTTATAGAATTGCAACGTCGTGAAAATGCATCTCGAACCACGTCACAATCAATGCGCCCGTGATCGTCGACACATTTGGACTTCGTTGAGATTTGGATTTGGGTCACATCAATGTGCACCCGAATTTAAGAATATAATTTACTTAAAGTCGCGCCTAAAGAATCTAACGCGTTATTCTCTTTAGGGAGGGCAGTGGAATTCACTAAACAGTCCGTCCCAAATTCTAAGTATTTATCATGATCAATTATTGAGGGCCCCACAATTTGCTTTTTATTTAGCGAGGCTCGTCTCATTATTTTAGAAGGGAACCCTACAGTGGCTACATTTCTATTACGTTTGTTTCTAAAACTAAAAGAAAAAGAACATGCTAATTTAACTATATGCCTTTGCCTAATCCGGATTCTTATCAATTTCTGATTAATTATTTACAAAGTAGAGAAAACACTACACTTCAATGGAAAATTGCTTTAGTTTGACAGAAGAAATCCGCTTAGTCTAATGAAACACGACACTTAATCCGAACAAACATTTTTAGGCCAAAGTTAGATTAACTTGTTTAAACAGGGTTGATAGAATTCCTTAGTGAAGAATACCCCCGATAACATTCAAAACTAATCCTATAAAGGCCTAAAGAAATCGAAAACCGGGCAGTTCAAAACCACATTATGTTTGGCTAGGTTTAATAGCCTTTTGCCCTTACTTATTCAATACATGCTGAAAAAGTGAATTTAATTTTAACAATCACATTAAATAATTTCTCATTTCAAGAGTTCTGTTTACATCCTGTATGCCACTAAACGAATCGAACACCACAGTTCAAATCAGCATAGTACAAGCTTAACAATGTATTCCCTATCAGCTATAAACTACAATTTACATAAACTTGACAACATTTATGAAAAGGCAGTCAGTAAACGGGTGATTATAACTCTTTCAAATCTTTCTATTCATGCTTTTTCAATGTTACATTCAGCTACACCAATGTGAGACTTGAGATGTGTACCTGGAAACAACTGAAAATGCCAAAGAGAAGAGGAAGAAGATAGGGAAATCAGCAACAGCAGGAAACAAAATAGCAGCAGCAGCAGGGCAGGATAGCAGCAGACAAAACAATACAGCAAGAACAGGCTCGAGTGCAGAAATGCAACTATGGCCAATAGAAAGCAGTAGCCAAATGACAGCAACACCCAGTGGAGTAGAATCAGGACTCCAGACAGACCAAACCAGTAGTAAACCAATGAAAACACTCGACTAGTAAACACAACTGGAACTTCAAAGAATCAGAATTGATTTTGAACAAATTGAACAGCTGAAACCCAAACAATAATAGGAGGAAACAGTTTCTGATTGTTGATTGTACACCTTCTATCCCTTAACCTCTCTCTATCTGTGTTTGTGTTTTTCTTTTTCAGCTCTTAAGGTTCAGTCTCTATCCCCCTCTGTGTATCTATTTGTATTTCAGCTCTCTCTTTCAGAAATTCCTCACAGTCTGCCTATTTTCTTTTTTCCCTCTAATTCTAATCCCTTCTTTTCAGTCAGATGTCCTCTATCCCCTCTCAAATCTTCAGGGTTCTCTAGCCTTTAATCCTCTAGCTTCCCCCTTTTCCTTGTATGTCTATCCCCTTCTCTCTTTTAATGTGCTTCCCTTTTATAAACCTTAACATCAAACCTTTTACAGCCTGTTAAATTAATCAGATACCCCTCCCATGTGCCCATCTCTTTTCAGTTTCCACTCAGCTATTTAAGTATTAATCCCATGATTCCCTTGGCAGGCTTAACTTTTAAAGGGTTTAATACTTTTTAAACTAAAGCAAGGTATGGACAGTAGAATATATCTAACAGCATATGCTGTCAAACCATTTTTAACTTCAAAAACCTTTTTATGCAGGAAAACAGGTTGTGCACAAAGCACATGAGGTGCACCAATGCACATGCTGTGCATGAGTGCACATGCCCTCCAATTTAGAGTTTAAACCAAACATTCCTTTCTACATTACAAATCAATTCAACAGCTATAAGTAAGCAAAACTGGTTCTTAATTGATTCAGGCAAATGTTCAACAGAAACAAATCGATTTACTTTGTTTAGACAGTTGAAACTAATTGACGACACATGTCGACTCGACTATATTAGCATTAAC